TCCGTGGGATTCGAACTCTAGACCTGCCACTTGGGGGTGCAGTAACCCCACCACTTCACTAGGTCGCCACACCCTTTTAATGTAATAATTATAGGTGCAAAAATAAATATGAATAATGCATTTCATCGTACACCATCTTTATCAGTCGCAAGATCACACCTTAATATTTTAATGAAAAATATTGAATCTGCTAATGTAGACGTTGAAGAAATAGTCGAAGATAATGAATATATGCTCGAAAGTCGGGAAACCTTTGTGCAGGTTTTACAGGTAACAATATTTTATCAGCCCATGACTATTTGTATATATTTTGATATAGCGAACTATAGCCTAAAAAAAAAAAAAAAAAAAAAAAAGATAAAAAAATTCTTAAGCCCGTTTGATGTATAATCAGCCATATATCATAAATATATATATCACAAAAATTAAAAAAAAACAAAAAAAAAAAAAACCTCCCCTGTTTACGCTATTTTATTCAACGTTTCCACTTTTATTCAATGTTTCTTTATTCGACGTTTCGACGATTTATTTAAATTTGTTTAATCATTTTATTATCGATTATATAAGTTTTGGGGTTATCGAATTGGCCAAATAGTTATTCGGTCAATTTTTTATTAATGACAAAAAATAGTCTTATATAATTCAAACATACATATATAGTAAGCTCTAATAAATATACCTTTTATTATATTTCTTTAGTAAATATATACATGTTTTCAAAAATGTTAATTCTGTAATTGATTTAATACGGCAATCAAAATTTTGTTGCTATTTAAGACAGTTTTGTCATATTTGATCGCTTAATTTCTAAAAAAAAAATTTTCGTAAAAATAGAGTAAAGCCAAACTTAAAGTGCAAAAATTTGTTCTTTTAGTATAGCTTCTTCACAAAATTGAGTTCCTTTTAGTAAATAATTTAATATCGATGATATCAAGTTCTTCTTTTGCTTTTTTGTCACACTATCTCCAAATGCCCAGAGTAACTATTGCAATTCTGAAACTAAAAAAATTCTTGAAAATACTTTCTCAACACCATCTAACTGTGCTCAAATTTGAAGCTGCTTCAAGCCAAGTAAAGGGTCTGTTGAAATGTTAGTCTTCTTTATTAGCATAAGTTTCTTATCAATCTTGGGTAAAGTTTGGGCATTATTATTCATGGCTTTAAGATTTTCTCGAAGGCTTGAAGATCCTTTTTTAGGAATAAAATTATTGAAGCTTCACTAGGACTTCTGTCTACTTCTCATATAAATATATACAATTCGTTTGTAAAGAAGCATTCTAACATCATCTTTTAATTCTTGTTTTTTAGCCATCACATGTTGACAACTGCTAGCAATATCAAGTAGCATGTTGAAAGATCGCAATAATGGTAAGTTGCAAAGCAAGCTATTGTATATGTATTCAAGAATATTAGGCCTATATTCATTATGCTTTTCGAATAATAAAAGTATTAATAACTCTATCTTATAAAAAAACTCAAGAAATTCTTGGCCAGGAATCACGTTCATTGTTTGAGATCGAATATGTTGCTCATAAACTATCTTCTCCGAGCTTAAAACTTCCAAGTGAGCACAAATAGAATTGAATTGAGGGTGCAATTATGTTAAGTCATTATTTTTAATAAGCTTGTAAATAACCCATCCAACAATATAGGAGAATTTTGATGCTTCTGCTGGTTTCAAGACAATAATATTTTTAATCATCAAATGACAGTCTGCTAAAAGTTTATTTTGTTCAATTTTAATAGTTTTTCTTTTAAATGTTTGGACAATTACCTGTTGTAACAACAAGTATACAACAAGTCACTGAACCGAATAAGAACTATGTGATTTAGCTGCTACTAAAAAGTCCTGATACCAATTACCTAAATACTGGTAATTATTTAAACGAAGTTCAAGACGTAAACTCCAGTTGGCTAACCATTGTACTTCTATTTTCTTCGGAACAGCTTCAAAAGCCATTGTTCTAATAATATTTTGCCATTTTTGCAACAGGTGATCAATAGAATCTTGATAAAGAATAGCTTCTAT